TTTCTCTTTAAAATCTGAATCTAATTTTTCTTTTTCTCAAATCAACGGTGTTATGTATTATGTTAATTTTAAGATTGATAGTTTTACAAGATTTAGGCCCCGAATTGAAAAAAAAATAATATTTTAAGCCCTGATTTGATAGTTAACCTATCTTTCGGGTCTTGGATTGAAAAAACACATTTTTTTAATGTTTTATGTATTTATGTTTGGTATTGTTTATTTACACAAATAAAAGGACTAATAACTAAATATAAATTTGGCCCATTACACAAATGAAGAGGCTAATTAATGAATGAACAATAGTAACATATATACTTTGTGTAGAAATTTGAGGCCCCAAATATTTCATTTGTTTTCTTATGATGTTCGGTCAGAACAGTTGTGTGAGAATAAATATTCTTTGTTGTAATATGATTTTTATTTTTTCTTCTTTGTTGTCTTCGTGACTGCTTAAATGCAATTTATAATTTATTAAGGTAATTTTCAATGTCTAAAAAAACAAGAAAAACTATTTTTTTTTTAATAATTTATCTATTTAATAGTCTTGTTTAATTAGACTTTTTCTTGTATGATTCTATCTACAATAATCCTACCAGGCAAATTCAAATCGAAAAATTCGAAAAGGTAAAATTTGTCTGGGGCCTCCAAATTTCTGGAGGCGGCCATGGTGTAGCATTTTCAACATATTTCAAGATGAAATGTTTTATCTTTCCTTTTAATTTTGAGAGTCCAACTTCTTTTTCTCATTTTTTTTTTCGCTTTGTGTTCCTTGATACTTTAAGCTTTGTCAATCAAACCTAGCAGTTTTGAGTAAACTGAGGCAACTGAAAAATAATTTTTTTTCCTAGCTTCCTAGATGAGCTTATTTGTTCTTTTGGCTGCAACCCCTTGATATTTAGGATGACCTCACTTTTATGCTTACAGAAGCTTTCCTCCACCAATGCTCTATTCCAGTTGCTCCCATTAAATTCCAAGAGATATAACTAGTATGTCTCTCAAAGATCTGTTACGTGTCCTGGTAGATTTAGATTATGGATGGTCTATATACTGATTTTATCTCCCTTTTTGATCTCATATCTAAAACCTTATCGAAAAAAGTCTCGGACCGTAAACCAAAGGTTCCACATCCAGGAGTTGTTATGTTTCTTTGTTGCAGTGAAGAAATTCTCTTTGTGAAAATATTTTGCTTTCAAAACTTTACTTACCAAAATATTTGACTTTGGTAGGATTCTCCATATTTTTTTTTAGCAATTAGGGCTATGTTCATAAAGTGCAAATCATGAAAACATAATCCTTTGTCTTTAGACAGAGCTAGTTTGGTCCAAGATCTCCATCAGAAATTTGCAAAATTTGGGCAAGCTGTGAGTAAAAACCCTTAGGTATTAGGAAACATGACATTGCATAGATGAGGAGAACTCACACGACAGATTTCATCAATATTTTCTTACCTGCAAAAGAGAGAAATTTATTGTTCCAGTTGAGAATTCTTTTTAGATTGCGGTTTCATTAAAGGCAAATGTTTCAATAATTTTAAAACATATATATATATATTTGATCAATAGATATCCGATATTACTTATCTATCAGATATTTTATGTAATTATTTAATACAATCAACTAAATGCAAATTTAACCAGCTATATATTATCACGAAATATATTATGCTACGTCATCCTAAGACTTGGGGGTCCCAGTTTAAAGGTCTAATCAAAGGATTCCACGTGGTGTAGTAATACAAAAAAAAAAATAGTAACGTATATAAAGTCTACTTATCATGAGTTACTGGTTGTATTTGGCTTTACAACCTCTTTTAAGATTGTGGGGTTGCGAGTGAAACAAACTGATCATGAACTCTTGATACTCATTACTAAAGCGGAGGTCGACAAGTCGACAAGTAGATAATTAATAAATTAATTTTAAATTATGATGTATCAAACACAAATCGTAATTAGTCAAATTATCAAAAAAATAAAATATATAAAAACTTTTACTCCTGATCTTTAACAAGCCAACCTACATAAACTTACATAAATTGTATTGTATTGTTACCTCCTCAAGAACAGAAAGAGATCAGCTACACAAAATCCCTCTTTCCATCTCTACTGTAGCTCGAAGCTTGAACTATGCTCAACGCCTGCATAACTTCAACAATCTCACTAAGAACAAGAGGATCGTCATCATCTTCTCCATTTTCGCCCAATGGCTACTTGCACTGCTCAATCGAAGCGCACCCATTTCTTCATTCATCGTCCAGATCGAGCTGCTTCTGCTGCTGTTGCTGCTCCAATCCGATGTACAGAGCTCAGGTAAGCCCCAATTACTGCTGCAATCTGTATGGATTCAGACAATCCTCCTTAATTCAATGGGCCCCCCACAGAAGGGTAGGCCTCGACCGGTGCTACTACACGCGATTGCCCATTTCCAGTGTTGGGGCCGATTGTTATTGCGATGGGGTTTGCGATTTCAGGGTGAGAAATGTGGGCAGGGGAAGGAAAGTAGGTGTGGGTTTGAGTAGACGTATGGTGTTTGATGAAAGTGCTGAGAGGTATGAAGTCGAGGCTGAGGCCGTGCTTAGTTTGCTGGCTGAGGATTTTGACGAGATAGAGTGTTCTCGTCCACTGATGGGGAAAAGGAAGTTACTGAAAAAACCGGCCGTGGAGGAGATGGGGAATGATGAGGTGAGGGGCAAGATTATGGTTAAGAAGAAAATGGTGGAGTTAGGTGTTGTGGAGAGTGGGCCGAGTTTTGAGAAAGGGAAACCGGCCGGTATTTTACGGAAGAAAGATGGTAGAAGGAGAGAGCAAATAGCTTTTAGGGAAGAAAAGGCGGAAACTTTAGCTCGGGAGGGAAATCGAAAGGAACGTAAGGATGGTGTGACAAATGGAAGAGAGAGAAAGAAAGAAGAGGACGAGGTGTGGATGAGGAAGCCGAGCCGGAGGGTCGGTGAGGAGAAAGGGAGAGAATATATTTTGAGGAAAGAGAATGTGAATGTGAGTTCAAGGAGGGATGAGACAGAAGATCCTTCGAGGAGAGAGGAAGATAGGGAGAAGGTGAGGAGGAGAGATGGATCGAGTTGCTCCTCGTATTACTCATTCTCGTCGGCTGGCGATTACGAGAGCGAAAACGAAACTGAGCTCAAAGAAGACAGGTTTTCAGGGGACTCGTCGAGCGATGGTCTTATGATGGATTCAGGTGTTGAAATAGTTCACCATAAAATTACTAAAGAGGATCAGAGGTATGAGGCTCATAAAGGAGATCATGGACGGATTTTGACAAGAAATAGCACAGAAAAGGATTTCGAGTCTGATTTTAGGAAGAAATCGGAAAAGAAACTTACAGATATATCGGTGGAGGAGGTGGAGTCGAGTAAAAAATCATTGATAAAGGAGTCGAATTTTTCGATGGCAAGTGAAAGTATATATGAAAGAGGTCCTGATTACTTTGATGAGCGGAAAGTAAAATCGTTGAGCGAAGTCACGAAACCGACTGAAGAGAGAAAACAGGAGCTTCTGCAAATGGGTGATGAAGAATTAAGGCAATCTGAAACAAGAATGAAGTACAAACAGTTTGTGGGAACGAAAGATACACGTGTTGATGAGGCTAGAAGTTCTTACGGTTCTCAAAAGGGATATACTGTCAAGGGCGAGATGTCTGCTAAAGTCGAGAGTCCGGAAAAAGCTGTAGAACATCAAGCTGCGGTTGGACTTAGCACAATAGAGGATAAATATGAAAGAGATTCTTGCAAGATTTGTGAAGTATCAGAAAGTCAAGATATTGATATTCGAAAGACTTCCATTTCCAAGCAAAGGCTCGAAAAGAGTGTGAAGGAGGAAGAATACTCGACCAATGTATTAACTTCAATTAATGTTGCCTCAAAGCAACAACGAGATGAACAAGCAAGTTTCTTGGGGGAATCAAGCGGCTCATCTCTAAATTTGACCAGTAAAAACGGCAAGTCGATTTTGAAAAGGGAATCACAGAAGCTTATGAAACAACAAGATACTTCGAACTTAGTCTACGGCTCATCTTCAGAATCCAAGCAGACACTCTCACAGACACATTCTGAAATTGACAAGACAGTTAATTCCAGAAAAGAATCTGATGAATTCATCATTACTCAACCTTTATCATATTTACGTGAAACAGATGTGTTGTCTGTTGAGCCAAAGGCTGGGAGTGCTACTAATGATGATACTTTTCATGGGCAGTCCTCGAAGTTTGTTTCACCTGAAGATGCAATTGAGTCTGCTGCTCGATTAGAGAAATCCTCAGAACACTATCACGGTGAGTTTGTTAGCCAGTTAAGGAATGAAATAGTGGCTTCTGAAATCCAGAGGGAGAAACAAACGCCCGAAACTAAGTTTTTTCCCAAAGTGCATGAATTAAAGCAAGATGGTCAACCATCTGAGTCAAAGGGGCCTTCTGATGAAATGTGGAAAGAGGACGAACCATCTGCTCAGAAACTAGTTAAGCCAGAAATCCAAGATAATTCAAGCAAACCTGAAACTGCCATTGTAAAGAGAAGCGGGAAATCATTGTGGAATATTTTTGCCGACATTGTTCGTTTGCGTTGGTCCCCACGTCTGGAAAGTCACGGCTCGGGCCGAAAGGCGGGTGGAAAAAGCTCGCCTAATCAGTCCACAAGTAGTGAAGCATGGTTTTCTGGTCATGAAGCAGAGGAAAATGAAGGGACAAGCATAACGCAAGATTTGTCTAGCAGGCGTCAAGAAGAAAAGTCCCACTCTCTAGTTGGACAAAGTTCCAGCTCATCAACTTCAGAGGGCTATCTAAAGAGTGCCAGAATAAATGAACCATCTTCTTCATCTGTTTTAGAAACTTCAGGCATAGAAGTTCCTGAAGGCTCCTCAGCATTGGTTGACTCCTCAATTTCTTTACCTGCATTAAGCCTTCGAAAGTTTTCTTCTATGAGAGGAGGTTTAGAGATTAAAGAAGAAAATCCATCTGAAAGCGGTGTGAAAATGGAGAAACAAGAATCATCGGTTAGTGAAGGGGAGGTAAAACAAAAAAGACTTCAGAGAAAAGATCAAATCATGAAAGATAGATTTGATGAGTGGGAAGAAGCATACATGCTTGAAGCAGAGCAGAGAAAAGTCGATGAAATGTTTATGAGGGAAGCACTCTTGGAAGCCAAAAAAGCTGCTGACAACTGGGAGGTACCAGTGGGGGCTGTGCTAGTTCATAATGGAAAGATAATTGCTCGTGGGTGCAATCTGTAAGCAATCCTTTTTTTTTTCTTTTAATTACTATTATTGCTTTTTTGTGACTTATTTTTTCTCCTTTGCTTGGAAAATATTACGTTATATATTCTCGTGTAAATTTACAGGGTAGAAGAGATGCGTGACTCGACTGCTCATGCGGAAATCATATGTATACGAGAGGCTTCAAACATGCTCCGAACATGGAGGCTTTCAGTAATGTCCATGTTTCTGTTCGTTTAACATCATTTTATTTGGTTATCTATGAAACTTTTCCCTTCATTTAGTAAGGAATGATGTTGAATTTCAGAAAACACATATTTTTTCTATTTTCTTACCTTGGACTTGTCGTTTTACACACAGACCATAGTTGTTGGGTCATGAACTACACATCATTGGCTGGATTATGAACTTAAGAAATCCTATTCTCTTTTTATGCTTTTATTTCATGCATTAAGCAGGCAAGTAGATATATTTGACTCAGTTAAATGTGCTCATCTACAGGAAACTACATTGTATATTACACTTGAACCGTGCGCAATGTGTGCTGGAGCAATACTCCAAGCTCGAATAGACACTGTTGTATGGGGAGCCCCTAATAAACTCCTGGGAGCCGATGGTAGCTGGATTAGGTAAGCAATAAAGGTCTTCAGATAAAAGTTATTATCTTGGAGATTTTTCCGAATATAATCTTTGCACGTGACTCATTTTGCCATGTTATGATGTTCTCGTAATTGTAAACCTTCTAGTTGAAATGTGCAGTTGCTGATTATGACAAAAACCCAGATTCATCTTTCGGAATTCCAAATGTTCTTGTAACATGTTAATATTTTACAAAATCACTCGTATGATGGGGGAGTATATGTGCTACAAAAACAAACCTTGAGGGTCATTTCTGAATTTTAAAAGATAACATCCCTGTGTTTGTTTATTTATTTATTTCATGGGATATACAAAACTATCGATGAAGTTTGTCCAATTTACAGACAGTGTATAATGTCTGGGTATTTGTAATTATCTTCGACTTTCATAATATTTGTCTGGCTATTCAAAATATTCGATTAGTGATTTTAAGCAAATGTACTAACTCGGCTGATATTCGCAGGCTTTTCCCAGTTGGTGAAGGAGGAAATAGTGACTTGGATTTAACGAGTAAGCCACCTGCTCCGATTCATCCTTTTCACCCTAAGATAGTTGTGAGACGAGGTGTACTTTCTTCAGAGTGTGCTGATGCAATGCAACAATTCTTTAAGCTAAGGAGAAAGAAAAATAAAAAACCCGATATTGCCACATCACCTCCTTCTTGCCTTCCGATCACACACCGCCCGTCCAGGTTCATGGCCAAGATGCATGATGCTTTTAGCCTCATGTTCTGTTTGTAGTTTCTATTGTTTTTTCTTTTTTTTTTTCACTTCGTAAAGTTAGCTACGAATTTATGTTGGTGTACGATAAAAAGGATATTATGTTATGAGATGAGAAGAGATTGTTCTGTTGCTGTATAAACTTTTGTTTGGTTTTAAGTACGGTGATTTTGGAGTTTGCGTGTGAATAGGGCTGTTATCGACTTGAACTTAAGGTTTTCGAGCTCGAGTTCGACTAATTTTCGAACATGTTTTTTCGTTTAGTAAACGAACAAAAAAATTCGTTCGTGAACTGTTCGAATTGTCCGACAAGCTTGTGTTCGTGTTTGTTTACTCTTTTTTTATTTTTATTTTTTATTTTAATGCCATACAAGCTATTTTATTTAATATTTAATATAGATCTATATTTATATATTATATTATATGTGTATATACGCTATATAATATATAAAATTATAAATTATTTTTTTATTCGCGAATGCTCGATTAATTTGCGAACTTGTTCGTGTTCGTTCGATAACTATAATTTTATGTTTGAGTTAGCATCGATTACTAAAGGAGCGAGCTGTTATCGAATAAGAACGAACAAGAATTGAGTTGTTATGGAACAAGAACGAACGCGGTCGAGTTTTGTTCACGAACAGTTCGGTTCAATAAAAACCCTGTGAAAAGGGAAATTGGAAATATGGTATACTGGCTATATTCATATTTTTTTGCTTCTTTGTTGACTGAGAGTTGATACCTAAGTAAGGTGCTTTGCCCTAATCTTAGTTTTTGTTGAAACTGACAATTTGGTCCCTTTCCTAACCAAGAAAAGTTCATTTGTGGTACATTTCATTTTCTCTTCAATCATAAGAAAAAGAAATTTTTTTCTTCAAAAATCATGATTGGGAGCAAACAAAAGCCATTGAGCCAATTTTATTTTATTTTTTTATTTTATTTTATTTTGTTTAATTTTATTTTAAATTCTCATCCACCTACCATCAATTAGTTAGTTATATACACACACATCTGCTTACATGTGTGTGAGAAAACTGCATTTTGCTTTACCCTAAAGAAAACTAAGGAAATTATAAAAACAAACCCAAACTCATAAATTATGTGATAAAACACTGAATATGATTAGGAATGATTTGAAATGTAGTCATACACCAATTCATCAATGTGTTAATTTATTGATAGTAACACACAATCATACCAAAATGAAAATACAAATACAAGCTACTATTGTATATCACACAAACACACCATGCATAACATGAGAATAAGCTTTGTTTTCGTGTAGCCTAACAGTTAGACAGTGCGACCCATCTCACTTTTCGAACAGAAATGCATATGCATACTGTGAACTTATCATATTGCAACCGCACAATGGCGTGAACAATCTCACTTTTTTGAATAAAAATGCATATGAATACTGTACAATATCATAACGTTCCTACCTAATTATAACAACAAACCTACATTTTTTTTTTTGTTAATTTGCCTAAACGAGGCGCGTTCATTTGGAATTTCTAAAAACGTTTTAAAACTTCAAGGATCCTGGTGTATTTAATTTGGACTTGTTAAAAACTTTTAAAAGTCTTGATTTATTTGTTTGGAGTTTTAAAGTCTTGCAAAGTCTTTATTCGAGACTAGAATTTGTTTAAACTTTTTAAGATTTGCTGAGATTTTTAAGGAAAAAAACATATACGAACTTCCACCTGAAATCCCACCTCCAGACTTGAGAT